GATTTACATGTCCCAATCTAATATGCCATAAATCAGAACACTCAACGGTATAAACAAAAATAAGCTTTTTATTATCAACGATTACACGGCTCACGGCCATTACATTCATTTTGAACAATCCATTGTCGAGATAACCACGACCAAAGAATTTTCCATATTTGCTAAGAATAAACTTTTTAGCTTCAAACACTAGCTTAAATCCATGCTCAACAAGAAGTGATCCGGAGACCAAATTCTTGCGGATGTCTGGGACATGCAGAACATCCTTCAGCTTCAACTCCCTTCCAGAAGTGAGCTTCAGCACTACCGTGCCCACTCCAGCCACATCAGACGTGGAGGAGTTTCCCATGTGTAGTTTCCGATCCATAGCAGGAGTGTATTCAGAGAACACCTCCTTGTCGGAACACACATGACGAGTGGCACCAGTATCGATGTACCACTCCCTCGGGTTATCCACCAAATTGGCTTCAAACACCACTGCCGACATATCAAAATCGGTCAATTCACCCGGCACAGGGCCATGTTCAGCAACAAGGGCACTTGGTTGCCTTTTATTTGGCCCAACTTTCTTTGGCCTTTTGCAGTCTTTCGCCATATGGTTTGGCTTTCCACAATTGTAACAAGTTCCAGTAAACTTCCAAACCTTGGCTGGCTGCTTTCCCTTGTTCTGGATCTTCCTCTTGCTCGAGTTGCCTTGCTCCAGCAAGTTGGCACGAGCTTCCATCATCGGGACTTTTCCTGATGACTTCTGGTTGTCCTCCTCGATACGAAGACGAACTACCAGATCTTCAAGACTCATCTCCTTTCTTTTGTGCTTGAGATAGTTCTTGAAGTCCTTCCAGCCTGGCGGCAGCTTCTCGATCACAGCCGCTACTTGGAATGATTCGCTCAGAGTCATCCCTTCAGAATGGATATCGTGCAAGATCAGTTGGAACTCTTGCACTTGTGACACGACAGTCTTCGTGTCAACCATCTTGAAGTCAAGAAATTTACCGACGACGAATTTCTTCGCCCCGGCATCCTCGGTCTTGTACTCCTTCTCCAGGGCAGCCCAAAGCTCCTTGGCAGAACCAACAGAGCTGTACACATTGTACAACTTGTTACTAAGCCCGTTCAGGACATAGTTACGACAAAGATAGTCACCTTGCCCCCAAGCATCGTACGCAGCGCGTAGTTCTGCATTGGTCTCATTCTCAGAAATGACCGGAGGGTCGTCCTTCAGGTATTTCACCAAACCCAAAGTGGTCTGGTACAAATGCATCTTTTGTTGCCACCTCTTAAAGTCAAGCCCGTTGAATTTTTCGGGCTTTTCAGCTGTAGGAACATGGACAGCAGATACATGATTGATCGGATGCTGAGAGCTGGAACCTGCTCCGGTGGATGCCATCAGTTCAGTAGGATGACTGATATTCTTCTTGCGATTGTTGGATAATTTTGGTATAAATTACACGGGAATCCTACGAACTGATATGTATTTTCAGTTCTTACAAATAATCTAAAAAATAGAAAATTACAATTGAACTAAAAAATAAATTACAACTGAAAAACGGAAAGATTGTAGCCGAGGCGAGTAAAACTCT